TAAATTACTATAATCTCTATTTAGTTTATAAAGGACGAAGATTATTATAAAATTTATATAGACTTAAGAACTAGTATAACCCTTATTAATAAGGAATTCTTATCAAAGGTTACTCTATAAGCTAAAACTACTATTTGAGTAAAACCTATCTATCTACGAGATATTTGTCACAAATCACGTGCACACGTGACAAGTGAAGACCAGGCGGCGTCATAACAAGTCAAGCACATATGGGCCTGGGAGCTTTATGTGTTCTGGGAAACCAGAGGGAGTTTTCTTATGTAAGCAGGGGCCGTTAATTGGTTGGATAATGGATGTATACCTTTACCAACATGTTGGTCACGTGATAGTCGACTGGTCGACTCGTCGACCTGTCGACCAACATTCCTTAGTAGTAGTATTCTGAGAACGAAGGTTCTATATAAGACTGGCACGTCTGCCATTAGATAGGAGCTTCGTGCTCAACTTAGTTATCAATCTTATCATATTAGTTTGACATCTTTGATACAAGTAACGAGTTCACTTCCAAGTGAACAACCCGATAGTCTTCTTCTTATCATAGCATACCAACCAGCGAACACCCAGCCAAGTTTAGTTAGCCAGTTTGAGTATTCGTTACACTAGCTAAGGTAAAATAGTACCCTAATATAAGAGCTCTCCTATACTATAGAACCTTCCTGTCTAAGACTAGCGTAACTTATATAAGACTAGCCTTGACTCTTCTAGAACTATATAGCGTATAGGCTATCTCGCCTATATAGGAGTTATATACTAAGTAAATAAAGGGGTAAACTCTAGTATATTCTATAATAATTACCCTCTAAAAAGAAAAAGACGATATCCTAGCGTTATTAAGTATAAACTCTAAAGAGTACTAAAGATAGCTAGAAAATATCTACTAATTATAACTAAAGTCTAGACTTATTATCTATAAAAATAAATAACCTAGCTCCTTCTTTTAGGAACTAAATATATAAAGATTATTAAAAAGTAACGTAATCTATCTTAAATCTAATACGAATCTAATATATCTATCCTAAATAAAAGAACAGTTATTTTATTACGCTTATCGTAGAATAATCTTACAAGTAGTAGCCTTAAAATCCTAAACAGCCTCTAAAGCGTTACTAAGATTCTTAATATCTAACTATTAGTCCTTAGATCTATATCCTTTTTAGTAAATAAGGTATTAAACCCGGCTATTTTATATAGCTTCCTTATATATAATTCTCTTAATTTTATATTCTAAATCTCTCTTGATAATAATAGGCTCGGGTAGAACTATTCGTCGATTAAATAAGTCTTAATCCTTTAGGGCTAGCTTAAGTTAAGTAACTAAAATAATATCGTAAATATACTATTTCTATAGTAATCTAAGGTAATACACGAGTTATCTAATTCGCTTAACTACTTTAAGTAGTCTAATTTATTAATAGGAGAGTTTACGTCTAAGGACTTTTATTAAAGGGATATAGTATCTTTTATATAATTTTAAGAATACCTTGTTTCCTAGCTTAAAAAAGAGCGGTTTATACTTCTTATTAAAATACGTCTTTATATATATTTAAATAAGTTCTAAAGAGTATATTAACTCCTAGGCGGATTAAGGTTAAACTAGTGGTTCTAGTTCGAGAAGGTTAATTACGTTATTCGGTTTAAATCTATATACGTTCTTATTTAGATTTTTACTACTTAAAGTTAATAAAGTATTATTTGTGACAGACGTGCTTCAGTGTCACGAATCACGTGTTAGCATGTGATGAGTTAGTCCAGACGGCGTTCTGACAGGACAGATACATCCAGAGTAGTTATATCATAGCGGTGGTTACTCAGGGTTGTTGAGTATCCAAGGATTTCATAGCATTCATAGTCACGTGACAAAGAGCGCGACAGCGCGACCGAGCGAGCTGTCGCAACACGACGGTCGAAGGGAGCGACATTTGGAGAACGAAGGTTCTATACAAGACTGGCACGTCTGCCATTTAGATAGGAGCTTCGTGCTCAACTTAGTTATCAATCTTATCATATTAGTTTGACATCTTTGATACAAGTAACGAGTTCACTTCCAAGTGAACAACCCGATAGTCTTCTTCTTATCATAGCATACCAACCAGCGAACACCCAGCCAAGTTTAGTTAGCCAGTTTGAGTATTCGTTACATTCAGGTAGAACTCAGAACAATTAACACTCTATTCTTAGGACAAAAGACGAGGAAAGAAGGAGAGCTCGAGAGAGCTGGGAACTAAATACAGGTCGTGCGCGCTAGCGCCTCGCTAAGCGAGCATGTGACATCCAGCCCTCGTGACCATAACCGTCACAAATTTAGACTTATAATTATAACTAATTATAGCCTAGGCGTAGAGTTTATAGTTAAGATTAGGTTCCTCTCCTACTCTATTTTCTTTAACTACCTTTCCTTTACTCTTATTCTTACGCTTCTTAGTCTTTTATTATTATTATTAAATATGATCTAGGTAGTTCTTTTCGAAGGGATATTATAGTATATAGATCCTACCTTAAGGGCTAAATAAGAAGTATACCTAAAAGGGTTAGCGAGGAATATAAGAAGTAGAGTAAGTAGGAGTTACCTTATTAGAAAATAGAACTTTCTACTAATCCTCCTTTTTAGGATACTTCTCTAGTATATCCTTTACCTACTCTACTCTTCTTTTATAAGTATTATCTAAAAGCTAGTACTTTCGGTACGTAATATAATACTTCTACCCGCGCTTACGTATATACTTTTAAATAGTCTTTCTACTTAAATAATAGCCCTCTTTTCGCCTTATTATTTTAAGCTCCTTTATAATTATGTCCTAAGATAAAGCTTGTCTATTAAAACTATTTAATATAATAAGCTCTTCTAGCTTCTTTAAATAATCCTTTATAAGTTAACTTTTAGCTCCTCGAGTCTCTTTAATATATAGATTATTATATACTATACGCGCTAAAATGGAAGCTCTTTATTCTTCTCCTTTTCCTTGTAGCGTCCTTTAAGAATTATATACCTAGTTCTCTCTAAAATACTATAGAACTTAAATATATCCTCCCGCTTCGTACGCTCCTTAAATAGCTTATAATCCTCCTAGTTAATAATACCTAATATTCGTACTTTATATAGAGTCTTGTTTTAATCGTATTCGCGCTTACACTTCTTACCTTAGATTATACCCTTAAAAGGGTCTTTCTTTTCAGGGGGTGTAGAAGGGGTTCTAGGCCCTATATACTAGTTTCTACCCTTTTTTATAGACTCTTCTTTCTAGTAAGAATTTAGAGGTGTTAGTACGAGAGATACTCATAAATAAGGGTACAAAACAGTGGTAACAAAAGCATATAAAAGTTGGCATATTAGTTAGTTGATTGATTGATTGATTATGGAAAGGACGAGTACTAGCTATAAGTACTCGTATATGCTAAGCTTTCCGATATCCACGTGATAAAAGTGGCGGATATATCGTAACAAGAGGCATTTTAATAAGAAAAGAGACTTAGATTTATATTTTAAACATGTCGAAAAGAGGTTATTATAGCTTTGTTTACTATACTATACTAACTTACAACGTACTGAATATAGGTGTAATAAAAATAAGCAATTACGCACGGACAAAAAACTGCAGCTTATTTTGTCCACCGCGTGCCTGGCCAAGCCCCTCTAGGGCTTTTGTCACTCGCGAGTATGCCCTTGGTTTTTTCTCAAGATATTATTGTATTCCGAAATTTACACAGCGACGACGTCTACACTCTACCTACCTACATAATCAACCATGCTTCCTGCCTCAGGGTCGTCCACCCTCAGAGATTCGTCCCTGTCAGATCCTCATATATCCAGGGTGCGGTTTGCATAGCGTGGCAATGCAGTGGGCTAGGAGAACAATTTTTGGGAAAACCTAACGGTAACCGCAATTTCTCAAATTCACTGGTGTGGGTGATGGAAAGGCGTAGGAAAGATTAGAACCTTGCTTATGCTTGAGCTCCGTACATATCATGTGGAAACTACCCCTAGCCAGGGCTTTAGAAGAAGGCGCAAGACGAAAGAAAAGCGTGGATTATAAAGTCCGGGAGATACAAGGGAGAATGGTTTAAGGTAGGTTGGGTCGTGAATTCGTTATTCACTATAACAGAGGTGGGAACTGTATTAGTTAGCGTAAAGTGGTTAAATATATTTAATTATTTGAATGAGTTTGAGTGATCAAAATTGTTAATAGGATTTTCTTAGCAGATTTATTACGTAAGTTATATAATCAGAGCTAGTTGTTATAACGATTTCAAATAAAATAGATAATTATAATAATTGTTGTTTGAGATAACATAAGTCTTACTATAGTTACCTCATGCTACTGCTTGCCACTCGGACTCTTAAAAAAAGGTTTCTTGTAGGATAATAGTTGAGAGTGAACTAGGTGATTATTAAATTACCGCGGTCTTAATTACCATTAAACAGTTCCTTTCCATGGGATACAACAGTACACAGTAGTATAGCTGATTCCTTGTCGGCATGAACTAGTAACTTGATAAAAGAGCGTCTATAGAGTACAGAACCCACAAGCATTCATGGCTCCCCATGCCCTCACTACAGAGCGTTAGCATATTCCACAGGAGGCGCTAGACTTACCCCAGGCACTGCCAGCTATCCGGGATTCCCTTATCAAGACGCCTTTGACCCCCTACCTAGCCTTTCTCTCTATTCTTACTCCTTCCTTGACTTTGACATACTCGAGTGGATTGCGGCCAAAAGACGAGAAGGGCAAACTCAAACCAAACATGTCTCAAGAATCTGAAAATGAAAAAGCTGTTCAACACCAAGGACAATGCGCCCGAAACGGGAATTCCAAAACAGCTGCTTAACAGAATAGACTAAATAGGGCATATGAAGGGGTGATGATACACAGCTTCAATTCAGAGACAGGAAGTCAGCATTAGAGCGCCAGAAGAATGTCACGACGGAATAAAACGAAATGTTCACAGCGCCAAATCAAACACATATAAAGCCAGAGACGCAAAATCACGGTACGAAAAAGAAGATGCCTTAAAATAGATTATACAAAAAACCCCCAGAATTCTAAAAACCCTACTAGAAACAACCCACTATACTCAAAGTCTTCTGCTTAAGAGTGTTGATGACCTTAAAATCCCAAAGCACGTCTGGCCCACTTGAGGGTGAATCCTCGAGCGTTCTTGTTGTTGTTCTTCTTGTCGTCCTTCTTGTTGTTGCCAGCTGCCTTGTTGTCACCACCACCACCGCCAGCACCAACTTGTCTGACAGCCGTGCATCCTCCGAATGGACCAGCGAGGGCGTTGTTTCGGCATCTGATAATGCAAATGTCCTTGGTGGATCCTGAAGTAATTGTTAACATAAGAACTCATCATGTTATCTGGTTTTTCTTACCTCCAGTGCACTTGAAGTTGTCTGGCATGGCGACGTTGATGGTGAAGGCCTCAAACTTGGCTGGAGAGAAACCGTTTTCACCTGGGACGTTGTTGGAAACAACCAACTCTGTGGCCTGGCCGGCATCGTCACCACTTTGGTTCACAACACAGTCGTATGGTCCAGCTCCATCGGCGTTAACTTGATGGATTTTAATGGCCAAGGAAGTTCCGCCCTTGACTTCCGTAATCGAGTCTCCCTTGATGGCCTCTTCGACTTCCTTCTGTGTGTCGAGAGGTCCAGCTAACTGAGTCCTTCCACAAAAACCAACGGTTTTCGCAGCGATCTCAGCCTCGCGGATGATGGTGGTATCCTGCTGGCAAGGACTGATACCAGTGCAGTTTCGTGCAACATTGTCGTCCACTAAAGCCGTCGTCAGTCCATGTAAACTTCTACTAGCTTAATCTGATCCTTACCCTCGAAACCGACACTGGTTTTAGATCCTGGCTCTCCATCGATAGCGAGCAAAACACCGTGACCACTGACGGCGACGGCAAAAGAGAAGACTGCTGCAACAATTGAGGAACGCATGATGAAGATTTTTGAGTAAAATAGGTGCCCGGCACGAGTAAATGAATGTATCGAGTTAAAAGAACTGTGAGGAGAATCACCTGGATCCTAAGAATTGAATTAGAGAGATTGAAAGTTAAGGCGGGATGGATCAGAAAAGACAAAAAAAAACGGGAATCGCAGGTGTTTATAACTGCTCTCAACTCAAACCCCTATACCCGCTACAATCTTGGAATTGTGGAGTAGCAACTTCGGAGATGCTCCTCTTTCGCTTCGGGGAACTGGCCGGATTTTGACCGTCTAACAGAACTTGTTGCACAAAGAGTGGACCAGCCGTTCGTCCATAGGTCAATTCAGGAGAAGAAGCATATCCCAAACCCACCCATTCGTAGGGAATCCGTAAATACTTCGTACTTCAAGCAGACTTGAAGCTTACATTTCTTCTCCGTCAGAATTGGGGTCACATAAAACGAATCTAGACTGTGATTGTAAATTGAACATATCTCGCAATTAACTTCACCTTGTCCTTCACTCATTCGTAAAAGGAGATCTCGCTTGCCATCATCATTTTTGGCGTTCAGTACTCCGTACTCAAGCACAAATTCCTGCACCCGCCGGGGGGGAGGTGAGGGAGCCACAGACTGAAAACAATCGAGAAACATTGCAGTGTGAAGCACCCTGTTCCAGTGTAGCACATCCCCTGCTCTGCTACTCATTCGCCAACCACCGTGGCCGTCTGATCTTGTTCCGCTTGGTGAGAATCATGGGATGGCAGCTCCAACGTTTGTTGGGCAGTGGGAGTCGTGAGGAAGCGGCTGGTGGCGCAGATCCACTCAGGGGCCCTTTTCTCGCTAGGGATGCAGCCGCACTCAAACGTGGGGTGGGGTTCACGGAGGCATCGCCAAGGGATTGTGCGATGCAACAGGTGTGTCGGACCCTATGCCAAGTCCAAATCCGTAAATACCAGGCTAGACGAGTTCTCCAAGGGGAAGTTCTAGCCTGTGAGCCACGATAAAGTGATAGACAGGATACGGAGCGGCGCTGTTGTGTTTCGTCAGCCATTTGTTCCTGCATCGATATCTCACTTCCTGTTCAGGGTTCAGAGCCTCATTGCCTTAGAAGATATACACAGTTCAGCCAATTCGGTTGGTACAAGGCCTCGACCTTAAATCGGATTCTTACAAGTACCATCTCTTATTTCTACATCGGAAAGTGGCCCAATCAGCATTGACCTTTTGCCGAGACTATATCTCCGACATCCTATCAGAACTCTCATTACTCAAAGAGCCCCATATAAACGACGACAAAAAGAACTCGTGGCTCAGGCGTCTGGAAGCTGTGCCTGGTGACATTGTTCATCGCGCACCGGAGAATATGCGTGGTTGAGAAAGTTGAGACGATATCACGCTGCATCCTGCGATGTTTCAACATTACGATTCCGGATTCCCCTTGCTATTTTTTCACGATGACCAGAAAGCGGAAAGATGGGAGGTATCCAAGTCTTCTCAAATCCCATGTGAGCATAGCTTCATCCGTATCCAAATCTATTGTCCTCCGGCAATAATTGAGCAGATGATTAGAATAGGTAGGCGAGAACAGACGCAAGGACAAGCATACCACCCCAACAAGTCCAGTAAGAGAGAATATATTCTGTTTTGTGCTACTCGCACTGTACTTATTACTATAAATCGCTATACTGCACCATCTCGCCCTCAAAGCCGAGCCTCAATCCGCACACTTCAATAAAACAACATAGGGCATAACATTACGAATACCGTACTTCTAATAATAATACAATGCGGAGAGCTCAAGACGAAACAATTCGATCGCTCTCGAGGCTTCCCCATTCCATAGAGTTGGCGCGACGTACCTACGTAATCCTCAACAAACAAAAATATATCTTCCCAGGTGACAGGTCACAGGCGTACCAAACACAAAATCTCAGTGGGGACTCTACCCCGTATTCCACTACCAAATCCCATATAAACCCACCAAACTTTAACTCATCCTCTAAACTACTTCTACCTACTTGTTCTTCGTCCCAGGCATAGTAAGTATATGTATACTAGGGAGGCTTCGGTGGAGAACGGGGTAAAAACCCCCCCAAAGTTACGATTTGTATGCCTGGGACGAAGTAGAACAAAGTATTTTAAGATGAAACTACCTCCAACACTCGCCAGAGAACTCGATAAACAACTTACCGTCTTGGCTCCCCGGTCTTGAAGCGGTTGTTATATGATAATCCGAATGATTGTTTCGATTCTCCGAAGTCGTTGGGATAACACTAATACTAAAAAGGCTTATAGCCATTCAAAGAACCTCCTCTATTTTCGCCCACGACCAGCCAGCTTGACTATAAAACGCAAAGTATACAAGCCCCCCCGTTAACCTAGGAGAAAGCCTTTCGAGATCCAAGGGAAATAATCTACATATAAATTTGAAGTTTCCATCATGAAAGGTCTCATTCAAAATCAGAGAGGCAAAACACCTTGAGAAATTTAGTCTTAAGGATACGGACCTCTCCCTGGAATGGTGTCCTGTTGCAAGATATAAGCAAGAAGCACGGGCAAGGGTTCGCTGATCTTAGTACTGTATGTACCGGAAACCGAATTAACTCCGGCTCCTCAAACGTTGAAACGCCTGTAGGATATCTGAAAACCGCTGTCTGTTTGAGAGGACATACCCAGTCACATCTCGCATATGTCACCGAGATACGAACACGGTCCGTGCACAGCATGGACGATGCTTGGGACTACTTGTACAGCAGCGTATAATCCTCTAGGGCCATAAACACAGAATTGGAACATCTATTTCAACCACGAACACAGTTCCTTTTGTACATCTTCATATTCTTGTTTCTAAGCTCCACGAAATACATACTTGTACAATACAGGGTTTGGGAACTTGCCCATGACAGCGGCTAAAAGAGGTAGGCTCCGCCCAACAAGATAAAGCATCGCTCCCAAAGCCCTTCCAAGGTATCAACCAACCCAATTCCCCCAAAAACGCCATTTCCAAACAACACCGTTAAGCGCCGAAGGTATTCCTTTATTTCGTGAGTATTTGCCGTTCTGTGGACCTTAATTCTCCTCTCCATCACTATCATCTTGAGGCAAATCCCCGTCAACGAGGGGAGCATCCCCCATTTCCTCATCTGCGTCATCTTGAGCCACAAGGCTGTTCCCTAGGCCGTTTCCCACGAGAGGGCCTTTTCCACCTAGAATGGGTTTTCCCTGACCTCGAGTGGAATCTCGGCTTGATCTTTTTCTGGGAGCGGGGGTGTTATCATACACAATCCCATCCTCATTCTCCTCTTCCAACTCAGCATCTTCTCCTATCTCATCCTCTTCTTCTTCTTCTTCTTCTTCACCGAGCAAGACCTCATTCCCAAGCTGGCTACGTCGACTCGTCAATTTTGGTGGCATACCAGGACCACTGTCGGCCATTCCGAAATCTGATTTCTTGGTACCTTTAGGCCATCTGCCAGGTCCACGACCAGTGCCGCCACTTCTTCTTGAACTGCGTGAGGTAGCGGAACGTCTCGAAGAACCACCAGATCTAGCAGCAGGACGCGATGGTGTTGTGTTGGTTGATCTTGGTCGAGGTCGAGGTCTTGGTCGAGAACCTGAAGGACGAGGTGTGTTCCGATTTCGACTTCCTGGTAAAGGGGGAAATACCTCAAATCTGGTTGGCGGGATGGAAGCTGCGGCCTCATAGTATGCAAGATTCCGCGTGCCGTTGGCTTTGGCCATCACACTGGATTCGGCAGATCCAACAGAAGTTCCTGGCCCGAAAGGTTCGCGAGATTTCGTGGTTAACTTCCCCATTGAATCCGTAATGTCTTCGGTTCTTCCATCATTGACTACGAAAGTTCCAAAATCTCTCTTACTACCATTGTGGCTGCCGAAGTCGGTGTTGTCATCTTCATCGTCTTCGCGATGAGCCATTGATTCGGTAGTGGGTGCATGATCAAACGCGTTTCCTCGACCCATTATGTATGGAGTCCAGACTAGTTTCTTAGGATCGATGGAGGCATAACCCTTCGACTCGTGATGCGCAATTACATCCCGATAAAGCTCGGTCTTCAATTGTAGAGCATAAACACCAGTCACAGGGTCTCGAACCAGAGCTTGTAATTGTTCAAGGGCGGAAATGACGTCGTCGGGGGTCAAGCCCATTTCGTCCGACATTTGCCTGATACTTGGTACTGGGTCTCCGGATTTGTAGTGTTGCAGGTAATGGCAAAGGGCCAAGCGCCAGTAGTTCCGATAAGAGACCAGTCCCATGTCTGATAAAGGCTTTTCTGGCGAGCCAGTCTTCTTCTCGACACGAGTAAGAAGGTATGAGAAGTCAATGAGGAGATTACCGTAACCCTTCCGCTGAAATATTGGGAGCACCAAAATACACGATACGTTGTTGAGACTAGTTGGTCGTTTTTCCTTGGAGAAGTAACCGACGAAGTGATAGCCTAGCTCGTCATATTCGGTCAGAACATAGAACAAGAAGGGCTCGACATCATAGTAGAGTGTCTTAGAACCCAGGAACAACTTGGCTAGCAAACAAAGGTTCTGACAGTAAAGCGATTGTTTTCGGCCGTCAACTTCGAACATGGAGATATTTTCATGTCGGTAGATCTCGTCTCCAGGAGGATGCTTCCACGGACATTTCGTCTTATGTCGCCAAGCAACCGTTGGTGATTCCATGTACTTTAGACAAAATTCACAGATGAAGAGTGCCTGGTTTCTGCTGTATTCTTCGGGGTATGGTGCAGCATACCATATGTCGATTTGGAATTGACCAAATTCGATGTATTCGATCTGGCTAGCGGGCCCAGACACTTTTCGCGGCTTCTTGATACCTGATATGGCAGCGGCCTCAGCGGCAGCTTCTGCTCTCGCCTTCCACTCTTCCTCAGCTTTCTGTCTAGCCTCATCAAATTGCCGTCGGTGTTCGGGTTTGGGCAGAGTCATCGATGTGTCAGCTTCCGCTTCACTCAAGATGCCACCATAAGGCTTAGATTTGAGTTCGTCCATCTCCCTTTCGTGGAGCGAATAAAAAGGTTGAGCGGGGTAGCTGGAAGGTACGAATGAGGCGCCTGATATTGCAGGTGCGGGTGTCGTGGCGGCGCCAACAGGTCGATTTCTTCTCCTGATGGGTCTGGGTGGGCGCGCTTGAATGTGTTCAAGATCTGCTGGATTCAAACGAAACATCAATTTCATGACCTGTGGCGCGCGCTCCAGAACAGTTGCATGCGATATATGAGCAACCTTGGGCCGGAGTGATCTCGAAATTCGTGGGCTAGCCGGTGCTTCGTTCTTGCTGTCACCATTAGTCTTTGAGGGATTGGGGTCTGGTGGCGGCATGTCTGTCTCGGCACCATTTGCTCCATCCACGTGCGTTCTCGAGTGACTAGAGCCATTATCTCTATTCCGCCTTCTCGGGGTACCTGACACAGGTTCATCACCATCGACCTCCGTAGAGGATGGTTTTCTCTTTCGCAATAAACGAGAGCCGTCCATAGGGTCGTCTGGTGCTATCAACTGGTTGAAGACCGAATGAGAATCCGGTTTGATGGTGCCTCTTTGAGATGGAAGCAGATCGCCTGGTAGTCGGTCCCTGGATATTCTTCTTGCCGAGGAGTCGAGGTGCTCTTCAACCTGAGGCATTAAAGTTTCTGGTACAAGTTTATTTGCAACGCATTCAGGACAACACCATCTCTCTGGCTCTGCTTGGAATTTAGTAAATACTCTCATACATTATATTCAGGGGGATTCACCGTCTTCTGGGATTTTGCCTCCAGCGCTGCGAGCGCATTGCTGGTGAGCTAAGCAAGAGTCAGCGTTGTCATAGTGAACATCAGTATTTTACCCACCGTTATCACCGCAAACAGCACACGACAGATATACCTCAAACTCTTCGCTTGGGTCATTATCCTCATCCTGGTGACAGAATCTAATTAAGTTAGCGAATGTGAATTCCAGTTTCCATCAATTCCCCCAACATACATGCACCTATTTGGATTCGCGGGCTCTTCTTCCTCTTCCCCCGCGGTTGATTTCCATTCCACTTCCACTTCAGTATCCGAGTCTTTCGATTCATCGTCATCCTCCACAGTCACAACACTCTCGTCTCCATCGTCATCTGTTCCAGATAGTGCCTCTTCATCATCTTCCAGAAGGCCTGGCTGTATTTTGACCGCACCAACGCCTTCTCCATCCTCATCTTCATCTTCGTCATCCTCCCCATCTTCGCTATCATCCTCCTCCACATTATTCTGCGCCGATACCTCCATGTCTTCGTCTTCCGCGTCCTGATCTGACATGGCAGCATTTTCCGCATGCAAATGCTCCTCGTCTCCCTCTTGGTCTGCCATGATGCCATTTTGTAACTGATAATTTGCAGCTACTGAGTCTTCATTCTCTGCCATCAGATCCACTGAGTCATCTGCTTCGTATTCCGCATCGTCTTCTGAAGTCGCCATTTTATTTTGCAGCTCTTCTGCCAGCGATGTTGCAGCGGCCGCCATCCTGTATTTTTCAGGGCATTCGTAAATGTGAAAACTGCATAGAAATGCCCAAAGGGTAGCCCTCACAGAGGTCTGACTCTGATGCTGTCAAACCAAGTTTCGATCCGATGCGCCTCGTCTCTTTGAAAGGTTGGCCTGCCAATTTTGAACCAGTATTCGATATATCTAGATGCACAGTATATTACTAAAGCTCATTAGCAGCCAAATAATGCTGTTAGACGTTATGGCAAGCCTCGTAGATGCTTTGGTCGTCCAAAGGTAGTGCTGAAAGTAGGCAGGGATGGCAGTTGACGCGCGCTTGTTGGCCACAAGAGCAGGAGAAGAATCAAAGACAGTAAAGAAGTGAAATCTTGTGCTATTCAGACGCGTAAATCAAGCTTTGGCGACATGGAAATCAGGTTGTGAAGTTGAGTTGTTACCACAGTCCTGACTCTCCTCCCAAGCATGTCGTTGTGGAAGGCCGAGGAGGTCGGTCCTTAAATCCGACCGGGGTGCCAGGCACCAAGGCCTAATTCAAGCAACAGCAACGACATCAAACCATTGACTGCCCAAAAGAAGAGCGTCAATTGCGCAACAACAACAACAACACATAGCACAGCAAGTGTCCCCCTGCTATACCCCCACTATGAGCATGAGAATGAGCAAGAGTACACAAGCTAATCTCCCCCATAGAATCTGAATCCTACCGCCACCATGGGTGTACCATTTGAGGCTCTCATTCCCTATGCGATCATGACTGCTGTTCGTTATCTACCCCTCGCCACCTCCAAATTGCGTCCATACTAAGCTGCTTCAGATGTTTGGTATTACTGGAATAGGATTGTCAAAGATCAGACTCATGCAGAATGGCGGAAAGCGAGGACGTTACTCGGTGGATCAATGGGACAGAGTCAGTATTCTAACCTGACCAGGTACCGATTGCCAATATAAAAGCTAACAATCTGCAGCAAAGTACACGCTAAGACTTCTCCAACCTACCTACGACATACTAATATGTGATAGTGATGGACCGCGACCGAAGATTGACTGGATTTTTGCGGGGACAAACAGATGATCCAAAGCCACCAGCAGGATTTGAGCTGAGCAACCCTTGGAGAGTTCGTATAATCCATCTTTGGTCTTCCTGGAAGCAACGGCTGACTTGCTATTTCACAGTGCGAGGAGCGTATCGTTTGATCTCAGACTTACAGGCTTTACATACATAGCTTTGGAAGGGACAATACAAAATCAATTTCGCAAGTTTTGTGTTTGAGCCTTGAATGCCATTGATAAAACGGTTGAAAAAAGCTTCATCTAGAACGCCGCTAAATGTAAGTGCTTGGCCAAAATTAAATTGAAAATGAAAAGTTGGGACCTAGAGCAAGCGAATCAACCTTGAACAAAACACCACCAAAGGCCCATCTGTTTAGCGATGATCCAGTCTTTTCCGGGTTCAAATGCTAACTGGGGGTTTGATAATGGCTTCTTGTGCCGCTGTTTCTTCTATATTGTTTTCTAGTCTATCTTTACTGTATTGCCGTCAGAAAAATGGCGCTAGAGCTCGTGTAGTCCATCCACTTGTTATGAAATCGGTGAATTACAATAACGACTTTAGGAATCAGGTTGCTGCTTCTAAATTCTCGTAAGAGAAATCTAAACACTCAAAGTCTCGCGACAGAATTTATCATATCGTACCTGGGTCGATCTGAATCGTTTTGATCTGCCTTTAGACAACCTACCCCACTGCAAATTGCAATCAGAGCCCAAGTCTCCGGGTCACGCCTGATCGCTTAAGTCAAACCAAGTCAGTAGCTTCTCTCGATCAAATTATATAACTCGCAATAAAATCCCTAGTAATTCCCAAGGCTTGACATGTCAGTATTTAGGCACGGAGTACCATTTACCCATGTACTAAGCAAAGGATCAAAGGATCCAACAAGTAGAACATCTAGGATATACCCAAATCCAAGAGCTATAGCGAATAAAAGGCTATGTGGAGGCTCTTATGTCCGGTGTTAGAAGATCATTCGTTTTTCTACATGTGTGTTGAATAAAATCAATTACAGCACTTGAAAAGACGCTAGGAAGATCTCCTGGAATCCTGTCTGAAGTTCGGTTTTCATCCGTAGGACGTTTCTGTTAGATTTTTTGAAGCTGAAAATAGTAAGAAGAGGAGGAAGAAGAAAGAACGTGTTGGCCAGAATTGGTAAATTTTCAGGATACACTGGAAGAAGTGTAGTGGATCAAAGGAACTATCTGCCACTGTGTCTACGAGTACACATATATGCTAGTGCCACTGTGCCATCGGACCATGCTTATTCTCATGGCTTGAATATGTACCCTGGAATATATCGTGGCTGAATTGTAATAATAATCGTTTCTTACGTATATCATAACCACCAAAAATCATTGGACTACATTTCTATTCAGAAGACCGATAAATATATATATATCCGTTCTGACAAGCTTTGTTATGTTGCCGAAACCAAGACGTAAGAAACAGCGTGGTAACACTTCTAATCAAATACTCAACCCGACTCGAGTAGTACTTGAGTTGAGTTGAATGAGTATGATTAGGTGATTCCGTTGAGTTGAGTTGAGTAGTGGATTTGACTACTTAAGTAATACTTGAGTAGTTATATAAAACGTGACTAAGAGATCCTGTCCCTATATTTTAAGATTATAAATGGTCTAGACAGCTCGGGTCTCTCTAGCCCCCCCTCTCCCCCCTAATCCCCTATTCCCTCTTCCCCTCTTAATTACTTTCTAATATACCTCTATATAAATCGGACAATCCGATTAGCTAAGAGGGTTATATTATAGGCTTATACCCTACCTATAACACGTCGTATATAGGGGAGGGGGAGACGCAAGTTGTCTAGACAATTTACTAGCCCCGACTCCTAAGGCGGGGGGCACTCGGCTAAGTATACGTGGCCGCCCGTCCGGAGTCGGCCAGCGAGCCCGGGCGCGCTACGGGGCATCGGACCGACACTACTCGAGTTACTCATGAGTTAATCAAGTACTTGGCGAGTTGAGTTGATTAATGATTTTGACTACTCAAGTTAAGTTAAGTAGGTACCACTACTCAACTCAACTACTCGAATTTACCACGCTGGTAAGAAAGAGGAATAATTTGATGGCATCTTACCTTTCTAATTTCTCGCTTGCACTCGTACGTTTAGCAAATACTCAAATACCGTGCAATAGAATCCATCAAAGTATCGCACTCGATGACTAGTAATATGGATGACTTAAGGGGGGGGTTTTTTCGACTTTTCAAGGCATGATTATTGTTTAAATCCCCCTTCAAGTATATCCGTTGCGCAAACAATTGAACTCACATCCCTAAAACTCGCCCTCGAGGGAATTTTAGGTCCTGAAAGCAAGAAAACATCGTACAAGCTCCAAGAATCGACTCCAACGTATGTTTGTCAATTATCCAACCTCAAATACACACCCATGTCCTTTAAACCCCCAAGTAAGCAACCCATCGTCAATCATTTGTACGCTTCCACGGAACATCGTCTATCTGGCTTAGTAGTAAAATGTTAACATGTCAACATGTTACTACTGAGACAACGGCCGTACACACTGAAATATAGTGCCTGTTAGCTAAAAACGGAAGAGCGCAGAAATGATAGCCCAATAGAAAAACTTAGTTCGTCTGGTTTACGCTCCCTGGCGGCGCCTTATAAGGCGTTAGGATTTTTTACAGTTTTTTGGTCAGTTTAGAGGGTTTCGAGACGTTTTAGGAATTTTTTATAGTGTTGTAGTATACGTAGATTGTAGGCGCGAATGATTGGTAAACTAAGCGAGAGTGGAGAAATTCCCTTTTCACACATTATATGTCAGCGTCAAGGCATAAACTAATAAATTCCAGTTTATGACTTGCATAGTTCCCATATCCATCTTCAGTGACCAGTGACCAGTGACCAGTCAGTAAATCAACCATGATTACTCTTACTAGATTATTCCACACAGTGTAAAAGAAAGGTTAGTAAGAAAGATTGGTATCTCGACAACAAGTTGAACCATCCTATTGCCTTGAGTGATTTATCATGAAGTGTGCAGATAGTTTGTTGCTGTGAAGGTTTATAGATTAGAATGTTAAGTTACATTAACTTTCATGAACCTCGAATCTTCTAAAAACACTTGTGGTAGATCATCTGAAGCAACCTTATAGTGGTTTGAACACCTAATTGTTACCGGATCTCTTTGGGTTATATATCTGTACATCTTGAAAAAAGAGTATTGCGATATGGTACTGTACAAAAGTGACGATCATGGGATCCGTGGTCTGGGATTTGGTTACTGATACAAAATCGAGAAACAACGACTACAAGCATTATTTTCAGCTATTCAAAACCGTCAATATCAATTTATCCAGTATTGTGCCATTCACTGAATTCCTTGAGTTACCGTTCTGTTTCATATTCCCCTGTAGATGAATGACCCAAGTATTTCAAGTACCATAGACAGCCGTACACGGGAAGCAACGATAGCAGCAGTACAATGCATAAGCAAAACACCTGGAAACCACAATCTACAGAGGAAACATACCGCGATTTTGCTTTCAAGAGATCACAAACGGACTTGGAAATGCGAGCTAAATAGCACAGAAGGTCTAGTTATTGCCCCATAACCACTCTGAAAACAGATTTCGCATGAAGTCCCTAACAATGGACACAATAATTCCACTAAGTAGATCAATTGGAATTACCAAGTGTTGTAACACCAAAATTTATCCATAAGCCATCGGAGGTAGTCAAAGCGATCGTTCAAAGGTTCTATCAGTAAGAACCAGACCATTCAGTAGACAACTCATAATACTACTATACCCATCAGAAAGCTCAAACTTCCAGCAACTTCCTATCATCTACCCCGCTCCCGTCTTATTAGATGCTGATCGATATCAAAGGATTATCCTATCAAACCCGCGGGTTCCACCGAAAGGAACTCTAAATACCGCCAAAGCACGACCTCCCGCCTCCACAAACCTTAAAAGATCTGTCATGTTTCTAACTTTCTTACAAGCTACGGATTATCATATCGCATCGTGAAGGGTTAGAGGGTAGGTATTCTTATTGCTACTGGAACTGAGATATGATGAGATATGCTTTTGTACTGCCTATTGCATAATAACGACGTCTTTTGACAATGTCATCAAGTTATGATTTTCTGTCATGTTTACACACAGGCTGTGCAAATAGTTTAAACCGTCACACCATAAATCCCAATTTAGCATTTTTATCGTTATGAACCATGGTGTATTTTGCTTCCCTATCATAAAATTAGTCGACTCTATCTATCTATCAATTAGCTATTCTATCAAAAGTCTTTTCTCCTCCCTTCTTAAACAACAGCAGTTAAATTTAGCCAATAATTTATATATAAAGACATCACCTAAATGCCTTTCCTTATCACGCTTGAAAAGTCCTGTCAAATAGATAATTTTTAGCTAAAGACCTATCTGAGTCAAATTGTTATTCCTCCTAAAGATCACTACCAAAAAGACATGATTCCGCAAAAATTCAACTGACATATATTTCAAAGACAAGCTAATCTAAACATCCCTTCCCAATACTCCCAAAAGCGAGTATTGACACACTCCACCTAGCCGCCCCAAAGTACAAGCCATCGACGCATAAATCCACCCACCTCCAAAACACAACAAGTGTTTCACTTCATCACCACACCACCACCATATGCATATCCCACGACAAAACCCACAGACCCCCTTTCACACCGACGATCCAACATCCTATATAAATAACATCCCCAAATTCCAATATGTCTCCCTCTCCACCCCTTATGAATTTCAATTCCAGCACCTCTCTGCGTAGAAACACGTCCGTCCCGTCCTTTCCCAACACATTACATTATGATATCCATCTTATGTCTTCCCATTGATATTCTTCCCCATGGATCGTTATGTGTTTAGGGTAGTCTTCGAATTCCCGTTTTCGTGCCTTCTCTGATATCGTATCTCTGGGGAGTTCTGACACGGCGGAGGAGCGGGTTGAGGAGGGGTCGATGGAATGTTTTTGTGGCCGTGAGGAAAGGAGAGGTGAGATCTATTTCCACTCTTCAATTAGCGTCTCCTTTTCCTCTCTATATCTTTGCCATTGAGGTCCTCCCAGAATATCTGTTCCATCTATTAGCCAACCTCCTCCGCAAAGAACTATCACTTTGAGGAAACAC